GGATCTGCTGTCCGGTGGAGAATGAAGGATTATGTACATTAGAGGAGGCTCTCTGATTTGAGATCAAGTGTAACATTTGGCAATCCGCTGAACCTTCTAGAGCATGCCACGAGTTCCAAATGTTCACCTTATACTTAGGGAAATAACCATAGTCGATGGTCGCGATATGGATACGCGACCCAGGGCCGTAGGCATCCTCACCCGGAGCAGGGTTCCACCAGAAGTCCCTGGTTTCATCACCGACGCTCAAGTGTGCCCACCCATAAGTTTCCACCAGGGTACCACTCTTGTTGTCAGGCGTTGTGAACACGGTGAAATTCACATGCATACTGCCAAAATGCCCAGGTCTGTTGGTCTTAAGGATGATCCCAGCAGCCTCCTTATACACACCATCGGATGTAACGCCCTTCTTGCTGTAAATGCAGGATGGCTCCATAACAGTGGTTATAACACTTCCCCTCCCTGGACCAGGCCCGCCATGACACCCCGCAGGGTAGTCCGCAGTAACCTGGAAAGATCCCTCAGATTGTCCCAGGGTCGCTTGGGTCATAATGGCAAGTACGAGGAGGCCGTAGGTGTAAGGCATCACTAATAAGACTCAATCTGAAAGTTTGTCGATGAGAATACAACGATTGTGACACTCTAACCAAAACGTGTTCCGCTCCATTCTAGCGGTACGGTCGCTTCATCATTGCTACTACAGCGATTGGGCCTATGACGGGTATAGCGTAGATATGATACAGCAGATCCTTTTGAAGGCACTGGTGGAGAAAGCAGACAATTCACGAGCAGTGACGAGGAATATGAACTGGCTCCATGGACTCCATGGCTTGGAGCGGATGACACTGTCTTCACACTGCCGCCGCGGTGCGTTTTCGTTCCTGGTATGTTACAATTGAGGATTCGAGTATAAACATTCCTTTATCTGGGCGGACTGCATGAATGCACTCAGTGGCGCGCAGGAACAAGCTAATGCTCATTGGTACAGGTTAATACAGTGAACAGTTCACTGTGAACTCCACTTCGACTTGAGTGAGACTAGGAAGCGCTATTGCACGCTCTACGGAGACAGCACGTTCGCACTCGCGAGCGACCGTGGATCTCGATTGTGTACCTCGCTGCTGACATAACCTCGTATATTCAGAATACCATTTCGTGACGTGATGGATCTGAGAGCATAAAGTCCAGCATCGATCCCGTTCACTGCGTAGGGTCTCGTGGTGCTGCGCCACGCGCGCAAGATCGAAATGCACTATCCAGTGTCTACTCTCCGCCACATGCGGAGTGGGAGACCGAGCATTTAAGCGTTGTTACACGTGTACATATAATACGACCTCGTCGACGACAAATTGTTGTCGCCGACAAAAACCCAATCTTACGCAATACTCAGAATCGGGATTTTTCGACCAGGTTCGACCTCACATTCGACTCAGTCAGACTGGGTCAGTCGTCATTGACGAGTGCACTCGGGCAACCCAATCAGCGACGTTGGTGCCTCTGGCATGGAGTGCTGTGTCCTGTTAGGTGAGTTTTGCTCTCCGAGAGCACTATAGCGAGTCGCTAGCGAGTTCAGCAGCGATCTCTTCTTGTGTGGTGAAGTCCCAGCAAATCTCGTCTGTTGAACGAGCTGATTGACGATGTAGTGAGCTCCCTCTCTCAGGCGACCACAAGGAACTGTAAACAACTGTACGTTCGACGGCTGTATCGGAGCGAAGCTCCGGAAAGAGTCTGTTCGATCGCGTTTTGGAGTTTCAAACTCCAAACTCCGAGTCTGGAGGTTGACTTTTCTCTCCAACAGTGCTTCGTATACTTGTTAAACTTTCGCTTGGATTGAAATTCAATCTTATCTTAATGGTATTTCCAGGATTGAATCGGTCTATAGCATTTATTCTTCTCATTATATTGTACAGTTAGGTCGTTGGTTTACAAGGTAATGTACGTCACTAAAATTAGCGACCTTGTCTCTGAAGAGTGTGAGACCTTCGGGACTTGCCTCTGAAGAGCGTACAGTCCTCACTCGTTTAATTAGGCAAGAATCTATGGAGATCTGATTATCCCGTCAATAACAACTAAATGGGCCGAATAACTTTTGAGCAATGATCCGACTGCAAAATTGTTGTTCACACAAAATGGCACTAAAACGGAGTCGGGAACCCAATGCTCGGCATCAAACAGCTTACAAAAAGAGATTGAGAAAAAGGTTGAAGA